TTTTTTTTTTTGAGCCCCGAAAAAATGGCTAGTCTGTCTTTTCGGGGGTGACTTAATTTCCCCCCCTTGCATCTTTGGGCAGGCGGGTGGCGATGGCTTGGATGTTGACCTCGGCATTGGTGAGGCACTTACTATCGGGGTTAACGCAGGCAGCACCATATCCGAGTGTGCAACAAAAGTACTTCATAACGGCAACCCCTCCCCACCATTCCCCCCATTTTGCATGTTTTAATATAGGCCTTAATTTGGGGGGAGGGGCTTAATTTCATTTCATGCCTATAAAACATGCTGGGACTTCCTCTTGGGGGAGGCCATATTGTTGGAGAAACAGGGTAGAAAAAAAAGGAAAGGTATATTTACCAAATGATGTTACAGTATCTAACTACCTTATCATATGACTTTTCTATGTAAACATTTTTTTCAGAAGTATGTAGTAAGCAGTGATTCTACTTTAGTAGATTCCTTAATGCGGTAGCATTTTTCAGGTTTGCCTCTAAGTCTGAAAAAAAATACTGAAATGAGTAGCAGTGTTCTCTGCCCACACAAGATCAGAACAGTCTCTTCCTAACCAAAGCATATACAACCCTGAAAATTATTTACCTCCATATTCATTTTTTTAATAACAGCTTATTATTCTAAGCTAATAATATGGATGTAAAGGATTGTGTTGTCCAGGAACAAGGAATGTGTTCGTCACTATTTGTAGTTAAGACTTTACTTCTATCAATTGAAATGGCCTGTGTGTTAACTCATGAAACATTTTCTATGCCCGTTTTATAGTTGCCAACAGAAAGGAGATGGGGGAAGATTTTGAAAGAACAGTGCTGCAGTTTGGAAGTGAAAATACATTCCATGCATACCTTGCAAAGATTATACTGACCGACTGGAGTTTCTGGTATGCGATTGGAGACCCAGATTAATGACTCTTGGCAATGGATGTGTTTCGTTGGAGACTATGAATTATGATATACCCAGAGGGGTGGGGGAAAACCAGGGTCAAAGGTGATAGTGAATTATATGTCTCAGAATCGGCTACATCCAGGTCATGCCAATATGTCACTCCTAATGAATTCTTTGAAGCTTTTTGAAGTTTGGCTCAAGACTCATGATTTAATTAGGGCGATCACTGGAATCCTGACAGCTAGCCGATTCTATGAAGAAGTATTTTTTCCTATCTTGAATCTCCATTATTCATCTCATTTGATCTGGCTGTCTAAATTGGGGGGCCCTTCCTCCCTCATTGTTCCATGTATATTCTTCATGAACCTGCCTGCTCAGTGAAAAATGATGACCACTGAAAATAGAAGTGTACTGTTCTTTTACATTTAAGAGGGAGGAGGAACAATATTGAATTAGCTGTTGAAAAGAAGTTTGGAGGTCATTTAGATATTTCTTAAATTTAGTTTTTGCTTTTATTTTCCTTTTCTTGCACTTTTTCTTTCTTCTTTGTCTTTTGTTTTCCTGTAAAAACAAAATATAAAACCCATTGGCTTCTCCTATTCAAGTTAGCAGGGATGCCTTCAGGGGTGGGATGCTATTGGTTTGACCCAGTTCTATAGAACCAGTAGCTCCGTAGAGCAGCTGACAGCAAACCGGTTCACTGCAACGACCTTCTGGTCGTCTGTTTGGCCCACCCGCCTGCCTCTTGGCTGTCCTTTATTTCCTGCTTTTTCAACCTCAGCTGCTTTGCATGGCCCAGCTGAGGTTGAAAAAGCAGGAAAGAAGAGGATTTTCAAATGCTGCACTTGTCAGCTGTCCAGGTGGCACAGCTGATGATTTTTTGCAAATGCTACACACACACAAACACACAGAGAGCAAAACACACTCTCACCGAACCGGTTGTAACACCGGTTGAATCCCAGCCCTGGATGCTTTCTGATACATGTAAAGAGAAAGGACTCATAAAAATTGTGCTTGCTCTTTGGAAAATATTTAAGAATGTGTATTTAAAATGTATTTGCTGCTTGAGTGACCAGAGACAACAGTTTAGTCATTTACATTTTACACATGATGAATCTAATTTATTCATTAAACCCTTAAATCTAAGCGTTATTCTGTACATAACCATTAGAAAAATGATTTTGCTGAATTGAGAATATAACCAGTTCAGTTAATTGTCTTCCTTTGGTTACCTTTTCAAAAATAAATCCCATTGCATTTGTTAGGATTTACAAGGAGGCAACAGTGTTTGGCATTTGTGCAGCTTCTTTTCTTTCTTTCTTTCTTTCTTTCTTTCTTTCTTTCTTTCTTTCTTT